CCCTAAGCGTGCTGCCGCCCTAAGCGTGCTGTGGCTCTAAGCGGGCCGTGGCTCTAAGTGTACCCAGGCTCTGCCTTCTGTCTGTGTGTTGTGTTATAACGTTCTCAAATGATCAAGTGGGACTTCAGGCCACAGACTTTGTCCCCTTTCCTTCCCAGCAACCTGTTTAAAGCTGAAGGACTGCTGTTCTGGTCACTGAGGATGGCAGGCATCATTATTTTAAGAGAAGCAGAGACATGCATTTTGGATACTGAACTCCAGCCTTCTTTAAGGCCACCTGGTATTAACTTGCGTCCTGGGTGATCGGATCACAAGTGGACAGCGTTAAATACGTCTGTTCACACCTGGCATTAACATGCCTCTCCACATTTGTCTCGAGTGACGCTTGTAATCAGATCTCACTTTACCGCAACTTATTTAAATAAGCATGTAAATCACTTTCGTATGCAGAATCTGCCAAACATTAAAAGAAGGAGAAGAAGAAATCAAAAGCTATTGGCGTATTTCAGGGTAGACATATCGCTTAAGATGTTTGTAATGAACACCATAATACTTTAAAAATACAAATATATCTATATAAAAAATAATAAATCAATTAATAAATATTTAAGTAATTAATGTGTTCTTATATCTTTCAATAATTCCATAACAGGCATTATATTTCTTAATACTTAAGAAATTTCTTAATACTTACTTAATCTTCTATGTATAGACTTTAAATTGTATTTCATAATAAGATTGTGATTTTCATTCAACAGTCATTCTAAATATTATTTCGCGTAAAGCAAATGTGATTTCTTAGATAATGCAAACTATTTTTCACAATAAAGTTCAACTTTTCACGTTGTAGGCATACATTTCATTACTTTTCTATTCGAGGGCAAAGGGTTCAGTGTGTAATGCATTATGTTCATTGTCATATGATAATATTTTTGCTTTTTATCATAGCCAATGAACCTAAAAATTTGTGAAAATTTCAACCAAGAGGTTCATTGTTTTGTCTGATACCCTGAATTATATGTCTGAATTGGAGAAAGTGAAATAAAAGGAGCAAAGTAGTTCAAGACCCGGACAGCCTAGTATGAAACTATATAAACAATCACACTATTATTATATGTTTCTATTAGCATATCCATTATCTAGGCTATTGAACGCACATTCTTACCTACGTGCTCTAATTTTGCATTCATGCAATTTTTACTGGCACGTTTCACCAATATTAATAAAGCGTGGAGCAGCTTTGACATAAATACAGAAGCTTCATCAAAGACTGCATTAAATATATGATCTGCTCAAATTTCAAAACATATTTAATAAATCACTTACACAATTTATTTTCCCGATTTTGCATGGAACATTAATAATGTGCACTTTGACAACGTTTTCATGCAAATAGGTCGGGACAGTCCGATATTAAAAAAAAACTGTAGTATATGCAAACTGATTTTTTGGTGTTGTAAAAAAAGAAAAAAACATTGTTATTCACAATGCACTGGCAGACATTCTGACATAAATCATATGTCAAATACCGCTCGCATGTTTAATGAGTACATACGTTCTTCCGCTGTGAGCACACGGAAGCATGTCTGTCTGTCTGTGTTTATGTGTGGGTATGTTTGAGTGTGTGTGTATCTGTTTATGTGTATGTCTGTCTGTGTTTATGTGCCTGTAT